TGACCTCAGGTGATCCACCCACCTTGGCCTCCAAAAGTGCTGGATACCAGGCATGAGCCACCGCGCCCGGCTTGCACTGACCAGATCTTAAACAACAGTGATCTGGCTGAGATTCCAATTGAAGGCCACAAAGTGGGAGACAGTGCTTTGACTTTCTCCTTTGCAAGGACGAGACAGAGAGATGCTCGTGTCCCAGAGGCCATATGGCAAGTCACCTAAGAATAAAATGTTGTTTCCATGTAACAGACATGCTGAAGATCCAATCATGAGAATAAACCCTGCACAGTGAGTTGCTCCTTGTTCTGTAATAATTAGTATAACCTTACCTTTCATAACCATTTATCTTTCTTAACTGAGTCTTTGGGAAGTACTCTATGAATTAAAAATTAGCCTTTTGAATTGTATAATTCCTACCTTCCTTAGGATGTTGATGTAATTGGTAATATCCTTAAGGACTGGCAGTCCTGGATTGAAGTTTGTGTCCACGTTTGTGGCTAAGGGAAGAGTATGATTCCTGCCCTGCTTTCCTCCCAGGATTCTTCCAAGGGTCAATAGAACCGCTTTATCTGTAAAAAGATATAAAATTTCCTTGTGTTATCCACGCAGCGTTTCTGCAGACTAGGTAGGGACAAGTACTTTTACCTTTATATTGTCATATAGATTGAGACCCCAGAAATCATAATGAAATCTTAGGATTTTAGAATGTATCCACCTAGGGACTAGAACAATTTAGTACTCTCTCACCTGAGTTTAACATTTGGAAAAAATATATAAATGTTCTTATGTGAATGTTTTAGCCACTTGTATCATTTAGGTTTGACTATATGGAAAGCACACCTGTAGAAAAAGCAGGAGCTGAAAGAATTGGGAAGACAAAAGGGTGAATGGTAGTGCAGGAATACAATCCTTTTTCCATTTTGGCTGACACTTGACTTGTGGGAGGTTCAGGACGGTTCCCCTTCCAGGGAAAGTGAGTCCAGACTAAGAACTCTCAGGCCTGAAATCAGAAGAGCTGGCTTGTTTGGATTGGGGGCAAACAATGGGAGCAAAGACAGCCACAGAGTGAAGTGGGTTTAGAAGTACCTTGCTGTAATTTGGAAAGGGGAAGATCGATTATAAGAATATTCTCATCAGCAGGGATGTTAAATAGAAATTAACTATATTGATTTCATTGCTATTAATTTGAAATAGGTATTTAAGTCTACTCACTTAATGTGTTGTTATTTTTATTTCTCACCTTCACTGGTTCATTTAATCTGTCTTCTAAACCAGTTATCCCACAAGTCCCTTAACACATGGTGGCCCCTGCCGCAGGGCTTGTGGGGACTATAGCTGTGCTGGCTAGCGAGCGGATATGGTGGAGATTTGAGTGATGTGCCTGGTACCTAAGTACCCAGAATTGTTCTAAAGCCCAGATCTGGTGCTGTTTTCATTGTTTACCTGATCATCTTAATGAACTACTTGAAGACAGATAGTGCCTTGACTTGCCTTTGTGAGCTGAATGTCTGTTTACATTATGAAAGGACAATTGTTGTCCTTAAGTGAATGTTATCAACAAAGACTTGGAGGAAAGTGTGATTTATTGACAAACTGCAGCAAATGACTTGCTTCCTTGTTCATATGGATTTTTAAAAAGATGTCATTGCTCTTCTACCTGTACTTCTGTTGTATATTACTTTCTCTTATGTAGCCACAGAATGTTTTTACTCACTTGCGTATGGGTTATTTTTCTAAAACAGATCTGTTTGTATCTTCTCTGCTTTGCATTTAGATTTTTTTTTAATCATCTGGATTAAAAATTTCATCTCAATTTGGTTTGGTGCCATCTAGCATAACCCTGGGCCTCGACACCATATCCTCCCTCAGTACATTGCCTGGTAATGCAGAAGCTTTCCATTACTGCCTGAAGAAGAAACCGCTAGAAAAGCCCATCAGCTGCCAAAAGTTATGCCAGTATATTGTAATTTCATCAGTCCAAAATATTTTAAATTTTGAATTATTTACCCTTACTAAGATTATACATAATTTGCATAGGTGATTTTAAAAATTGACTAGATTTAAAAAGCAAATGGTTTTGTTTAATAAATGATAGACTAAAGAAAACAGTGGAAAGTTATTAACCAAAAGGTAAAAAACCTTTAATAATGGTGTAGAAAGCAGTAATTATGGTCACACTATCTGAGATTCCAATGCTGTGAGATTTTTCAGATCTTTACGAGAAAACAGTTTAGAGATAAGGGTGCTCCTGGGAATGGAGAGATAGATATTTATTTTTACATTTATTTCTAGATAAAACCTTCGTTTAGCACTTTAAGGTAGAAAGCAGATTTTTATTGCTTTCGTGAGCATAAATAGGAACTCCAAGCACAACTATTTCATAAAATATAGATTTTTGTCTAAAACCTATATACTATAGATTTTGCTATTATATCTAGTCATGTTTAAAAATATTACTTCTGTATCTCTAAATACCATTTTTCACTAAAAGGAATCAGGAATGCTTGGAGAAATTACTGGTTTTAGATCTGAGGCAAGAAATATATAAGTTGGGCTTGGAACATATTGTCATATTGGAAAAGAAGAAGGTTATCAAAGACCACTAAGACTGTGTCAAAAGAACTCAGAAGCCAGCTTGAATAAACTCTTGCAAGCTTTTATCAGTAAAGGTATAATTTCAATGGATTGAAACATGTCAAATATGTTTAAGTCCGTGGATTCATAATTATACTTCAAAATATAAGAACAAAAACTTGGTTGGTCATGTTTGGGGAATATTAGGGAACTACTCATCATTTTGAAAACTGGCAAATAGAGAAAAAGAGTTAGGCACCTCTCCTGCCTTTCCTCGATGACCTGTATCTCAGGGTACCTCAGAGGGAATTTCTCTTTGTAGAATTATTCCAGCTAATAAATCAAGAATGAATAATAGAATATCACTTTGAAGTTTTAGTGAATTATTGGATCTAGGCAAATATCAGAGCTAACAATATCATGGAAGCGGGCAGTCAGAAATTATAGTTATATGCCTTCTGATGGAAGTTCAAAAATGCCATGAAAGAGTCTGTTTGATGTAATTGTCATATACTGGCATAACCTTTGGCAGCTGATGGGCTTTTCTATTGGTTTCTTCTTCAGGCAGTAATGGAAAGCTTTTGCATTACCAGGAAGTGTATTGATGGCAGATTAGGTGTCAAAGCTCAGAGTTGTGCTAGATGGCATCAAATCCCCATCCCATTAGAACTTGAACAAGATCAAGGCTCTAGATGGAATTATCAGTCTATAGGGATGCAGAGGACAGAGAAACATTTTAAACCACAGCAGTGTGATACAATGAGAAAAATCCAGAATGTGGAAACTCCAGACAACCCAGTTCCTTCAACAACTTTTTTTTTAAATTGCAAGGAAAGATTAGAAATACAGAAGAAACTTATAAAGAAATTTAAAGAACATATCAAAGAATCATAATGTATGAACCTTATATGAATCCAGATTCAAGCAATTTGAAGTTAAATTTGAATTATTATATATTGAAATGCCTATTTGATAGAAGTAATTATTTTCATTTTTAAGTGTGATAATATTGTGCTTTTTAAAAAAATTATTTTTCAGAGACACACTGAAACACTTATAGGTGAAATTATGTGATGATTGGCACTTACTCCAAAATAATCTGGCTTGTAGGCTAGGATGGGATTGACACAAGGGGAGTTGATAGGAGTATAAATCAAACAAGATGGTCAAGTATTGATAATTCTTGAATCCAAGGGGTAAACCTAACTGGTTTTTTATTCTCTTTTCTCCCCTTTTGCATGTATTTGAAAGTTTCCAAAATAGAAATTAATACATAGCTATAATATATGCATATACATATATACAACATATCAATATGTATATATTCCACAAACTAGGTAAAATTGCAAATTTTCATCCAGGTTTAAATTTTTTTTTTAATTATACTTTAAGTTCTAGGTTACATGTGTACAACGTGCAGGTTTGTTACATATGTATACATGTGCCATGTTGGCGTGCTGCACCCATCAACTCATCAGCACCCATCAACTCGTCATTTATATCAGGTATAACTCCCGGTGCCATCCCTCCCCACTCCCCGCTCCCCACAATAGGCCCCGGTGTGTGATGTTCCCCTTCCCATGTCCAAGTGATCTCATTGTTCAGTTCCCACCTATGAGTGAGAACATGCGGTGTTTGGTTTTCTGTTCTTGCGATAGTTTGCTGAGCATGATGGTTTCCAGCTGCATCCATGTCCCTACAAAGGACACTAACTCATCCTTTTTTATGGCTGCATAGTATTCCATGGTGTATATGTGCCACATTTTCTTAATCCAGTCTGTCACTGATGGACATTTGGGTTGATTCCAAGTCTTTGCTATTGTGAATAGTGCCACAATAAACATGCGTGTGCATGTGTCTTTATAGCAGCATGATTTATAATCCTTTGGGTATATACCCAGTAATGGGATGGCTGGGTCATATGGTATTTCTAGTTCTAGATCCTTGAGGAAAATTTTCATCCAGGTTTAAATATTTTAAAAATAATCCTTTGTCTACACACCTACTAGAATGGCCAAACCGCAAAACACTGACGTTTCCAAGTCTTTGTAGTGAGTGCTATGAAATAATGTATGAAGCTAACAGATTACTCTGGTGTATACTGCCACAAACGAGGTAACTTTTTAATATCACGCCTAGACCTACAGTCAAAAGGGAGACTCTAAATTGTGTTATAAATTAGGAATCTCAGAACCTGAAAAACATTTTATTTAATTGGAGAGATATAAAATGGTACTGCATGAAAAATATGTGAAATGTAATAATTTTAATGCAAATATGTAAAATAGAAAAAGAAGCTAAAGGGCTTAGCCAGAGCAGGACTTTTACGTCCCTGGAGTCCTGCCAGGATCTTGACCTTGAATAGGTATCTTTTGTGTTTCTGAGTTAATTTCCTTGTTGGTAAATAAACTTCTTTGGTTTTTTTCTAGTTGGGGAATGGCAGTCAATGTGTATTCTACCTCGATAACCCAAGAGACTATGAGCAGACATGACATCATTGCATGGGTTAATGACATAGTATCTTTAAACTACACAAAAGTGGAACAGCTTTGTTCAGGTAAGACATATTCTTTTAAGTGTTTACCTAAATGTTTACAGTCTGTCATGTGGAATGTGATTTTATGAACCACAGCTGCTGTATTTTGGGTAGGAAAAGGTATATATTCTATTGGCATGTAATCAAAGGGGGAAAAACTCAGATATAACTAAAGGACATATTGGGAAAAGTGTTTATGAGCATCCAGGAGCACAAGCAGAGCCACGCGGACACGTATTGGAAAGATCTCTTGCTTGAGCTTTGTAATGCCTCTCACTGGCTCCTAGCCTCTTCTCTGTCATTCCGTCTGCTATCACACTTGCCTCCTGAAAACACCAATTGGTTCTTACAACACTCCTCCTTTAAAACCTCCAGGGCTCCACATTGTCCTCATACAGGATAAACTTCAAACTCTCTTCGTAGACTAATGAAGTCCTTATTAGTCTCCATTCTACCCTCCACATCTCTCTCCCTCATACCTGAGACCCACAGAATAATCTTTGTTCCCTAAAGACTCTTTCCCTTGTGTATCCCATAGCTTTTTTCATGGTTCCTTTGCTGAGGTCTTTCCCCTTCTTTTCATTGGTGGGAAAATCTTGCTAACACTTTAAAATCTGGCTCACCTGCCACCTGCTCTGGGAAGCATTTCCCAGCCTCCCAGGCTCCGTGGTGTTCCCGAAACACTGTGCTCATCCTACAGAATGACACTTGCCACGCCGTGTTAGGATGTCTAACTCCTCCTAGCCCTGAAGGTGCTGAGAATCCTTGAGGACAGAACTGCATTTTGTTCCTTGTTGAATGCCTGTAGTTGCTTCTACTTGGTATGAGGTAGGTCTGCAAGGACTATATATTGAGTTAAACTTGTTTAAAAAATAAAAATATTTGACTTCAATGAGAAAATAGGAGGATGTTTCAAAAAGCGTGCTGCTAGGCCAGGTGTTGGTGACTTACGCCTGTAATCCTAGCACTTTGGGAGGCCAAAATGGAAGGATCACTTGAGCCCAGCGTTCGAGGCTGTGGTGAGCTGTGACTGTGCCACTGCACAACAGCCTAGGTGACACAGTGAGACCCTGTCTCCAAAACAAAACAAAACAAAAAATATGCTGCTAGTAAATTAATCCATTCGTAGGTCTGAGTATTTATGAAAGAAATAAGCAGTCCTTCTTTGGAAACAGGGAATATTTCCTTCCAGTAGACAAATAGATAAGAGATTTCTTCTTTCCCTTTGGCTTCAACGTGAAAATGGTATTAGAAAATAGGAAATACCACTGAAATGTATTTGTGTGAAATTTCATGAGTCAGAATAGATATGAAGAAGTCAACATTGCTCTTTTTCCCAGAGGGTCAAGTAAAAAGATTTTATACAGTGCAGTTAGAATTTCAAAAGCCCCCAGTAGTCACTTTCAGATGTTGTCTGAGTCCAACACCCACCAGTGTAAATATTCTCACTTCACCAGGTCTGGATTTAATCAGAATACTCCTAGAGAACTAACTTTGACTATGATTGACATCTCTTTCCCTGTGATCATTTTTCCCACGAGGAAGACGGTAAGGTTGGCCAGAACTTAGGCGTTGCCTCACCCACAAATCTATGCATAGGTCTCAGACATGAAGTCTTGTGATTTATGAGGTCAGTAGTGGGTGCTAGCTAACCACTCCTTTGCCCTTCAATACAAGATGGAGAAAAGCTGACTTAGACTATGATGGTTATGTACCAGGCATATATATTGTTGATCTACTGAAGTGTCTCTAAAAGTTACTTTCGGAAACAACTTGTATTGCAGCTTATGCAACTTCAGATCTCTACATACCCAAATATTACTGTGCTGTACTTGCCGTGCATTCTTGAGCTCTCTAATATTTTATTTTTAACTTGCTGCCGAAAAAGAAACCAAAAACAGTTTCTGTTATTAGGAATCACTTTGTTGATAACGCATACCCCTTTGTATTGTAATTGTGAAATTGTCTATTTCTTCAAAATGCCTAATGCATGGTTTTCCCTCAGAAATACTCATTTTGGAGATGAGTGAACTGCGATTTGCAACTGCTAAGGGGCAAAGACAAAAATGTGTATCTTACCCACAAAGTGGGTATGTGTGCGTTTGGATAAGGGAAACAAGGTTGGTTATCAAGAAAAAGAGACATAGGAAGGAAGGGGATAAGGAAAAGGCTCCCAGAGAAAATCCCCAGGCATGAGTCTTAAATATTAAAGGAAACCATGAGGAACTTCCTATGCTGAAATACACTTGGAGAGTTTTTGGTGGCAAATGAAATAAGAGCAAATTGTAATTTTTAGATTCTGTAGTAAATGTATTTATAAGCAATATGCATAATCTTTGCAGATCTTTAAAATTTCTCATAAAGCAAATTCAGCAAAATTTTAAGGGAAGTTTGTAAAGGATTCATATATGGTTATCTTAAAGCATTTACAGTTTTTGTAGCTGCACTGCCATCAAGTGTGGCTTGATTTACAAACACAAAAAACCTGTAGAAGCAATTTTGATCACTATTTAACAGATACACATAATTACCATTAGGATAACTTACTAGTTGCCTAAAATTACAAGATTGATGGTTCAGAAGAATGAAGTAGATTTAAAGTTTCCTTTCTGCTCTGAAATATGTTTCTTGCTGGAAGAAAAAAAAAGGAAGTTAATCTCCATAATAGAGAGACAGGTCTTTTATTTCAGGTAGCAGTTTTCTCAAGGTATAAACTATAGACTCTGTGCTTTTATAATTTCCTGGGGAACCGCTGAAAGAAAGCAGATGACCTTCTAAATCAGTACCTCTGAGTGTAGCCTAGAAATCTGAGTTTAACAAGTACAAGTTTAAGTACTTCTGTGCTGCAGCCTAGAGCTTGCAGTACATTTTACCCTAAACCAATAAAAATGAGGTTAAATTATCCAAAACGTCCTTGGAAGTTTCCTTGTTTATAATTTAATCTGTGACTTTTGTCTTTAGCATTTAGCAGGAGGAAGCTATCTTTCTGTTTATTTATTTATGAAATTATTTATTTATACCCTTCGTTGTTCTAGAAAATATTTAAGGCAGCTAGGACAGTGCTATTAGGATAGGAACAAAGCCAAGTATTGTTGACTTAAGTGACTTATATTCCTCATACTTATGAGTAGTCAGATTTCTTAGGTAATATTTTTCTTCAATGTTTATTTTAATTTTTTTAGTTTACTGTGTGGGATTTTATTTTAGCAGTATGCCCAGGAAAAACATACACGAAATATTTTCTCATATTTAAAATGATTTAAAATTTCAACATCATTTCTTACTCTCTTTCCTGAAGACTTATGCTCCAATCCTGGTGGTTCCCAGTTTGAATTTTTTTCCTATTGCATTATTTCCTATTTCTGTTTTTAAAATTTTCCAGCTAAGAGATCTCCCTCCAGCTCGATATTAAAACTAACACCAGCTTTTCTTTAATTCATGAAGAGCTAAAAGATTGCCTCACATTGGTGTTGTGTTTTACTGAGTATTTTCTGCCTTTATATAACATCTAATTTGTTTCCATGTAGGCATTTTTAAAAGCTTTTTAAAGGAAAGATGGTGTGAGAAAGTAGGACCCTTGGAAATATGTTTGTAGTAAGTTACAAAACAATGAAAATGACTCATTGTTATCTCCTGTTTTTTTATCCTAAGAATATAACCTCATGAAAATTTTCTTTGAACCTCAAATCTGGGTCATATAATTATATGCATATCTGGTTGTCATTTATTTCTTGTGACAAACAACTTTTAAGTTTCAAGTAAAAATGTGAGCTGTGTAAATGGAGAGTGGGCTATTAATGAATGTGAATACTACCCATAATAATTCAGCAATCTGTTGCTCACCTAAATCTATTTTGAAATGAATAATTGCAGATTTTCCATGGTGGAGTGAGAAGGTTGAACCACATGTAATATCAGATTGGTTCAGCTTATAAATATTTTATATTTTAATTCAATTGCTTTATAAAAGTTATAGGGCTTTGTGGGGGGTAATAGGGAATTTTTTTGGTGTGTGTTAGTACTAGCTCAAACTAATTTACTAAATCTTTTATAAGGTAGTGATGAGGGTGAATGGACAGCATGGTGCTAAAAATCTCTAAAAGCTTTAGCAACTTTAGATACCTTAGTGGGAGGTGATAGAGAAGAGGCGACTTAGAGGGGAAGAAAAGGAAATGGGGAGGGAGAAGTAGCATGGAGTGGGGGAAAGTGCGTCTTTTACTTCTTTTCCTCTCCCTCACTCCTCACCTCAAACCTCCTTTGAGACTTCTTTGTGACATTAATTTTCTGTGCCCTGATCTTCTGCCTTAGGCTAGAGCTAAGCAGCAAAGTCACTGGGTCTATTGCTGGGTCATCCTTGCTGCTTGGCAGACTGAGCACCTCCCTTGACTCCCATCCTCACAAGGCTGGTGCAGCCTGCCCTTTTCTCCCTGTGCACCTTCCCTCCCTCATCCCCACCCCTCCACTAGCTGAGCAGACACTTGCCTTGCGGCAAACGCTAGATACAGTCTGCATGTAGGGCTGGCGCTGCCTGGACTGTCACTATATCCTGGACTGTCACTGTCTGTCACTGAGAGCTGTTATTTTCCTGAACATTTTAGTATTTTAATAAAATGTCATTTGAATTAAACCATTTTTAGATGGAAAATTGAGATATTTTCTTGACTTGCTTTAAAAACATGAAAGAGAAAATGATCAGGATTTGATTCAGTTTCAATTTGTGCTTCACTAGATTGGTGCAAGCTTTGTCTTGGATCAAGTCACTGGTATTTTGTTCTTCCAGGAGAGCTTCTGAATTTGGCAAATGATATTGCAGTCACATTTGCAGTTCTGGTTACGGGATGGCTGTGTGGAAGGAGCTGGTATTTAGAGTACACTCTGGGATTCACACAGGTGTAGCCATCAGATGGCCCTGGTGTAGGTCCCAGGGCCTACCCTGATGATCATCATTCCTGAGCCCAGCAGAGTGTTCTGTGTGACCATTTTTGGCCGCAGATTTGTGCCTGTTAAACAGGTTGATCCCA